GCATCTGAATTTTGATCATATGACCTTGGAGATGCTGCAACAGTCATAAGTATTAAGAGCCAAGGTGGCACAGTGGTTAGGGTGCAGTACTGCAGGCCACTTCAGCTGACTGTTACCTGCAGTTTAGCAGTTCAAATCTCACCGGCTCAAGGTTGACTCAGCCTTCCATCCTTCCGAGGTGGGTGAAATGAGGACCCAGACTGTGGGGGCGATATGCTGAGTCTGTAAACCGCTTAGAGAGGGCTGAAAGCCCTATGAAGCGGTATATAAGTCTAACTGCTATTGCTAACTGCTAAAGGTACTTGTAACCCTGTCAGGACGTTAACATTTGGAAAAACTAAATGACTAAATTACACTTGCTGAGGAAAAAGGGGTGTGAAAGCAAACCTTGAAATTACACATCTATTTATTCTGAATAAGAGTCTCCTTTAAATATGCTGCCTAAAACGTAATTATATGATATAATAATAGGATCCATATTGCACACAGTCCTACTTTAATCAATACTTAGGATTTCGTTAGGTGTTTGCAGATAAATGAATAAAAGGATCTGCTTGTGCTTCATTTGTGTATGTGTAAAATCGTGCATTTATTCTTAAACAATGCCTAATAAAGTTGATGTTTACAAACCTTATGTACATTTCTTCTCTTTCAATCTCTTTGTAGAAATTCTAAGGGGGAAAAAAAAGATGTATCAGCCTATTTTAATGAATTTGGCTTTACACATATGTGCAAAGGTTTTACACACACTATATTAGAAATTTATAACATGAGTTCTAGGAGATGCAAAGCATCACATTACAATATTATAACGTGATGCTTGCATCTCCTAGAACTCATTTTTTCACCTATGAAATATGAAAGCATTGCTTTTTAAAAACATTTCACTACAAGAACTCCATATGCCCCCAATAGGACACTTTCAAACCCTACACCATTATCACTTCTTACTTTTGCAACGTACTAGTCATCGTAATGTACTGAAAAACAATTTAAAACATTAAACTAAAATTAGCGTTAAATCAACCGTTCTTGAAATCTAATAAATTAAAGAGCATACTAAAAACGTAAATAGCTTCAGGTAGGAAGGAGGATGAGTGCTGATAATTATAAGATTACTGGAATAATATATTCCTCCTTTCTGATGCAGAACTAAATAAAACTCCTCCTCTGGAATATATTTTTTCATTAAAAACACAGAAGAACTACATTTTCCCCCTTATGCCTGCTATGATTCCCATAATTAGCACACCCACAGCACTGGTATTATTCGTTAGAAAACTTCACTTTAGCTGGAGAACACATTTGAGGTTAGGTTTTGTTTGTCTCTTCCTTAAGTAAAAAAAAACACCCTTTTAAAACTGAACCATGATCTAAAACAGTGGTTCCCAAACTTTTTCAGTCCACCTTGGTGCCACAAACCGATCCTCAGTGCCAGTGGTGGCATTCAAATTTTTTTACTACTGGTTCTGCCTGCTAAAGTGAAGTT